TTTCAAAAATATGCGAATTACCTCAATTTTCGACCAATATTCAACAAAATTTTCGAAATTTCACTAAATACATTTTCTTGTAGATTTCGAGCGGCAGAATTCATATCCGCTTTCATTTCTTCGATATCTCCAGTGGTTCTTCCAGAATCATCCTTTGAGATGCATAAAAATATGCAAATTTTCAACAAAATTTTCGAAATTTCACTAAATACATTTTCTTGTAGATTTCGGGCCGTAGAAGACACTCCCGCTTTCCTTTCTTCGATAACTCCAATGGTTCTTCCAGAATCGTCTTTTGAAACATTCAAAAATGTACAAAATACCCCAATTTTCAACAAAATTTTCGAAATTTCACTAAATACACTCTCTTGTGGATTTCGGGCGGAGAAGTCAAATCCGCTTTCATTTCTACGATAACTCCAATGGTTCTTCCAGAATCGTCTTTTGAAACCTTCAAAAATATGCAAATTACCTCAATTTTCGACCAATTATTAACAAAATTTTCGAAATTTCACTAAATACATTTTCTTGTGGATTTCGAGCCGCAGAAGTCACATCAGGTTTCATTTCTTCGATAACTCCAATGGTTTTTCCAGAATGGTACTTTGAAACATTCAAAAATATACAAAATACCCCAATTTTCGACCAATTTTCAACAAAATTTTCGAAATTTTACAAAATACATTTTCTTGTGGATTTCGAGCCGCAGAAGTCACATCTGGTTTCATTTCTTCGATAACTCCAATGGTTTTTCCAGAATGGTACTTTGAAATATATAAATATATGCTAAACCCGCCCAATTTTCGACCAATTTTCAACAAAATTTTCGTAAATTTTCTAAATACATTTTCTTGTAAATTTCGGGCCGCAGAAGTCATAACCGCTTTCATATCTTCGATAACTCCAATGTTTCTTTCAGAATCGTCTTTTGAAACCTTCAAAAATATGCAAAATCCCTCAATTTTCGACCAATATTCAACAAAATTTTCGAAATTTCACTAAATACATTTTCTTGTAAATTTCGGGGCGCAGAAGTCATATCCGCTTTCATGTCTTTGATAACTCCAATGGTTTTTCCAGAATCGTCCTTTGAAATATTCAAAAATACCCAAAATACCCCAATTTTAGACCAATTTTCAACGAAATTTTCGAAATTTTATTAAATACATTTTATTGTAGATTTCGGGCCGCAGAAGTCACATCCGCTTTCATTTCTTCGATTATTCCAATGATTCTTCCAGAATCGTACTTTGAAATATATAAAAATATGTAAAATCCGCCCAATTTTCGACCAATTTTCAATACAATTGTAGAAATTTCACTAAATATATTTTCTTGTAGATTTCGGGCCGCAGAAGTCATATCCGCTCTCATTTCTTCGATAACTCCAATGGTTTTTCCAGAATGGTACTTTGAAATATATAAAAATATGCTAAACCCGCCCAATTTTCGACCAATTTTCAACAAAATTTTCGTAAATTTTCTAAATACATTTTCTTGTAGATTTCGGGCCGCAGAAGTCATATCCGCTTTCCTTTCTTCGATAACTCCAAAGGTTCTTCTAGAATCGTCATTTGAAACATTCAAAAATGTACAAAATACCCCAATTTTCGACCAATTTTCAACAAAATTTTCGAAATTTCACTAAATACATTATCTTGTTGATTTAGGGCCGCAGAAGTCATATCCGCTTTCATTTCTTCGATAACTCCAATGTTTCTTCCAGAATCGTCCTTTGAAATATATAAAAATATGCTAAACCCGCCCAATTTTCGACCAATTTTCAACAAAATTTACGAAATTTCACTAAATACATTTTCTTGTTGATTTCGGGCAGCAGAAGTCATATCCGCTTTCATTTCTTCGATAATTCCAATGGTTCTTCCAGAATCATTCTTTGAAATGTATAAAAATATGCAAAATCCGCCCAATTTTCGACCAATTTTTAAGAAAATTTTCGAAATTTCACTAACTACATTTTCTTGTAGATTTCAGGCCACAGAAGTCATGTCTGCTTTCATTTCTTCGATAACTCCAATGTTTCTTTCGGAATCGTCCTTTGAAATATATAAAAATATGCAAAACCCGTCCAATTTTCGACCAATTTTCAACAAAATTTTCGAAATTTTACTAAATACATTTTCCTGTAGATTTCGAGCCGCAGAAGTCTTATGCAAAATGCCTCAATTTTCGACCATTTTTCAATAAAATTTTCGAAATTTCACTAAATACATTTTCTTGTAGATTTCGGGCCGCAGAAGTCATATCCGCTTTCATTTCTTCGATAATTCCAATGGTTCTTCCAGAATCATTCTTTGAAATGTATAAAAATATGCAAAATCCGCCCAATTTTCGACCAATTTTTAAGAAAATTTTCGAAAATTCACTAACTACATTTTCTTGTAGATTTCAGGCCGCAGAAGTCATGTCTGCTTTCATTTCTTCGATAACTCCAATGGTTTTTCCAGAATCGTCTTTTGAAACCTTCAAAAATATGCAAAATACCTCAATTTTCGACCAATTTTCAACAAAATTTTCAAAATTTCACTAAATACATTTTCTTGCAGATTTCAGGCCGCAGAAGTCATGTCTGCTTTCATTTCTTCGATTATTACAATGGTTTTTCCAGAATCGACCTTTGAAACATTCAAAAATATGCAAAATACCCCAATTTTTGACTAAATTTCAACAAAATTTTCAAAATTTCACTAAATCTATTTTCTTGTAGATTGCGGGCCGCGGAAGTCATATTCGCTTTCATTTCTTCGATAACTCCAATGGTTTTTCCAGAATCGTCCTTTGAAGTATATAAAAATATGCAAAATCCACACAATTTTCGACCAATTTTCAACAAAATTTTCGAAATTTCACTAAATACATTTTCTTGTAGATTTCGGGCCGCAGAAGTCATATCCGCTTTCATTTCTTCGTTTACTCCAATGATTTTTCTAGAATCATTCTTTGAAATGTATAAAAATATGCAAAATCCGCCCAATTTTCGACAAAATTTTTAAGAAAATTTTCGAAATTTTACTAACTACATTTTCTTGTAGATTTCAGGCCGCAGAAGTCATGTCTGCTTTAATTTCTTCGATAACTCCAATGGTTTTTTCCAGAATCGTCTTTTGAAACCTTCAAAAATATGCAAAATACCTCAATTTTCGACCAATTTTCAACAAAATTTTCAAAATTTCACTAAATACATTTTCTTGTAGATTTAGGGCCGCAGAAGTCATATCCGCTTTCATTTCTTCGATAATTCCAATGGTTCTTCCAGAATCATTCTTTGAAATGTATAAAAATATGCAAAATCCGCCCGATTTTCGACAAAATTTTTAAGAAAATTTTCGAAATTTTACTAACTACATTTTCTTGTAGATTTCAGGCCGCAGAAGTCATGTCTGCTTTCATTTCCTCGATAACTCCAATGGTTTTTCCAGAATCGTCATTTGAAACATTAAAAAATATGCAAACTACCTCAACTTTCGACCAATTTTCAACAAAATTTTCGAAATTTTACTAAATACATTTTCTTGTAGATTTTTGGGCCGCAGAATTCATATCCGCTTTCATTTCTTCGTTAACTCCAATGATTTTTCCAGAATCGTCCTTTGAAACATTCTAAAATGTACAAAATATCCCAATTTTCGACGAATTTTCATAAAAATTTTCGAAATTTCACTAAATACGTTTTCTTGTTGATTTCGGGCATCAGAAGTCATATCCGCTTTCATTTCTTCGATAAATCCAATGGTTTTTCCAGAATCGTCTTTTGAAACCTTCTAAAATATACTAAATACCCCAATTTTCGACCAATTTTCAACAAAATTTTCGAAATTTTACTAAATACATTTTCTTGTAGTTTTCGAGCCGCAGAAGTCATATCCGCTTTCATTTCTTCGATAACTCCAATGGTTTTTCCAGAATCGTCTTTTGAAACCTTCAAAAATGTGCAAAATCCTACCTCAATTTTCGACCAATTTTCAACAAAATTTTCGAAATTTCACTAAATACATTTTCTCGTAGATTTCGGACCGCAGAAGTCATATCCGCTTTCATTTCTTCTATAACTCCAATGGTTTTTCCAGAATCGTACTTTGAAAAGTTCAAAAATATCCAAAATACCCCAATTTTCGATAAATTTTCAACGAAATTTTCGAAATTTCACTAAATACATTTTATTGTAGACTTCGGGCCGCAGAAGTCATATCCGCTTTCATTTCTTCGATTATTCCAATGATTTTTCCAGAATCGTATTTTGAAATATATAAAAATATGCAAAACCCGCCCAATTTTCGACCACTTTTCAACAAAATTTTCGAAATTTCACTAAATACTTTTTCTTGTAGATTTCGGGGCGCAGAAGTCATATCCGCTTTCATTTCTTCGATAATCGATAATAATTTTTCCAGAATCGTCTTTTGAAACCTTCAAAAATATGCAAAATACCTCAATTTTCGACCAATTTTCAACAAAATTTTCGAAATTTTACTAAATACATTTTCTTGTGAGATGTACGAACTAGGTTAGATTTAATGAGACCAACAAAATCAGCAAAAAAGAAAAACAAATCGAGTTTCGAGAAACATTTTCAAGTGGGCGATAGAGTTCAATCCAGAAATGATTCAAGACATGGATTATGGAAGTATGGAATAATTACAAAATGTATTGGTAATCTACACTATTTAGTAGAACTAGATGACGAAATAAACAATAACAAAAAATTATCTAAACTGTTAAATACACAACATTACATGTACGTATGACCTTTGGGATGCATTAATAAGTAGGTAATAATTATTATATTGCACAAGAGTGCGTCTTTCAATATTCGCAACCTAGAAAAATAAAAAAAAAAATTTTCGAAAGTTATTTCGACAACACTATATTAGGTCCAGTTCAACAAATAGCGCTTCTTTGAAAAATCAAAAAATTGCCACTACTCACAACAACAAACAGAAACACGACATGTCGTAAGTTTTAAATTTAAAGAAAACCACTTCAACCTACCCAAATTTTTATTAATTAAAACCAACAAGTGTGACTACACTCTCGAACAAAAACACCAAAATCAAATTTTACTACTTTTCCAGTTCACCACTTCCTGCCACCAGCTCGGTCTGCTCATTCCATTAGGTACCGAAAACATAGCCGTCTGCAGCCTCTGGTAAACCTACGATTACCCAAATTAGTTTCAACATAAATTTCGAAAGAACAATCATCACTTGGCCATCCGAAGCTCCCAAAACCGAGTTCAATGCAAAATCGGGAGGAGCTACAGCATCAACCAAAGCAACAGCGTCATTTTTAATATCACTACACAAAGACAAAATTGCTTCGTGTACCAAACGGGACCCTTGCGGACCCTGCATGTAACCGCCTTCGTACAACGTGGAGAGGAATTTTTCCAAAGTCCAGAGACCATACAAAGAGAATAATTTCAAAAGGACATTTTTGATACTAACGTCAGTAGCTTCGTTGATAACTATCAACATCCGTTGCAAAAAGAAGTGCTACAATTTGAGTTTTTAAAACTCGCTTTTCCAAGAAAATTCGCGTTACCTGGATGAACGCAGTACTCAAACTTTTGGCAAAAAACACTTGGGTGTCGTTTTTAACCCAGAAGGAGCCTCGTGTTTGCTTTAAACTCTCGACTTTACTTTTGGTTTCTTTAAGTAAGTAACAGACTAACCACTGATGAGCGTCCACTATATCTGGAAAAAGAATCGTTATCTTTGGCTACACTTGTGAGACACGTAGGTACTTTCAGGTTTACATAGTTCTTGTACGTTTGTTGCGTGGAACTGGTGGGTGAGAATGTCGAAAGCGTCAGATAAGAAGTTCGCTGATTGTAATGGGGTTTCGATTTTTGTACCTTGTTCAATCTTGGGCCACAGTTTAATCAACCAGTTGCTGGTTTGTTGAATTATGACGTGGTTGTCGCCTTCGTAAGTACAATTAGCGTCGTGGTTGGCTCAAGTGTCTCCAATGCCACTCACTGAAATAGAGTAAAAAATTGGTCTAAAGAGTTTAGACAGTACTTCCCTCGCTGTCGGAAACTTGACGACTGCATGCCTATTGTGTTTTTTTTCTCATTACATTTTTGTAGTGGGAATTTAAAAAAAAATTGCGATGACGTCATCAACATTTTTGCAAGGACACGTATATCAGTTGGGATAAATGTAGTGTAATACTAAGAATAAAATTATTATATTCTCAAATTTTCGGGAAAATGAATTGGGTCGTTTTGAATATTGATTTGTAATAATCAATAAAATAACGAAAAATTTACTCACGTATACGTATCAGAGGCAACTGAAAATCGTGTATGTATAAACATTCTTAATTTAAGATGACAGGCGTAACAGCATACGTGAGAGTCAAACAGAGAAACTGTAAACAAAACGACCATCGGTTTTATTGCTTCGACTTCCGCTTGTTATATAAAACATTGGGTTTTATTTTAATTCTTGACGGTGAAATTCACAATTGGTTGATTATAAACATGTCTATTTCACATTCGCGGAACCAAGTGAGCGCATAAAACAAATGCAGGTCTGTAATGTTAAAGTCGATGTAAATAAGCGTGCTACCCTTATGTTTCAACCGAGTTCTTCCTTTAAAAAATTTTGTGTCTACCAAATTGGGTTGGTTGGGGTGTAATACTAATAATAAGTGTTGCCTTTAATTTAATCAATAAAATAAATTGACTTCATTAATTTTTTTGAACCACCTCTTAAGAAAATCTAAAAAATATGAATGGAATGATAAATCACAAGTACAAACTCATCATATTTTTTGCATTTTAGATAGGATTTATTCAGCAAAATTTAAGGGTGACGTCATCAATTTTTTTAGGAGGGATGAACAAATACATTTTGAACAAAAGTTTACCATGCTTATAATAACTTTAAAATATTCCCAAGATTTCAAAGCATTCGGTTTTGTAATTCCTGATTAAATCGATAAAATAAATTCACGCCTTCATTAATTTTTTTGAGTCACCCTGCATATGCAAATCCAAAAATATGAATGGAATGATAAATCACAAGTACAGACTCATCATATTTTGTACATTTTAGATACGATTTATTCGGCAAACTTTTGAGCTGACGTCATCAGTTTTTTGTAGAAGATAACCAAATATATTTTGACTAAAAATGTATTATGCTCTTTATAACCTTAAAACATCTGCAAGATTTCAAAGCATTCGGTTTTGTAGTTCCTGATTAAATCAATAAAATAAATTTACGCATTCATTAATTTTTTTGAGTCACCCTGTATATGCAAATCGAAAAAATTTGAATGGAATGATAAATCACAAGAAGAGACTCACCATATTTTGTACATTTTAGATAGGATTTATTCAGCAAAATTTTGTGGTGACGTCATAAATTTTTTAGGGGGGACGACCAAATACATTTTGATCAAAAATTTACCATGCTTATGATAATTTTAAAATATCTTCAAGATTTCGAAGCATTCGGTTTTGTAGTTCCTGAGTAAATCAGTAAAATAAATTTACGCTTTCATTTATTTTCTTGAATCACCCTGTATATGCAAATCCAAAAAATATGAATGGAGTGATAGATCACAAGTACAGACTGATCATATTTTGTACATTTTAGACATGATTTATTCGGCAAATTTTCGAGCTGACGTCATCAAGTTTTTGGAGGGGATAAGCAAATATATTTTGACTAAACATTTATTATGCTCTTTATAACCTTAAAACATCTGCAAGATGTCAGAGCATTCCGTTTTGTAGTTCCTGATTAAATCAATAAAATATATTTACGCATTCATTAATTTTTTTGAGTCACTCTGTATATGCAAATCCAAAAAATATGAATGGAGTGATAAATGACAAGTACAGGCTCATCATATTTTGTACATTTTAGATATGATTTATTCGGCAAACTTTCGAGCTGACGTCATCAAGTTTTTGGAGGGGATAAGCAAATATATTTTGACTAAACATTTATTATGCTCTTTATGACCTTAAAACATCTGCAAGATTTCAGAGCATTCGGTTTTGTAGTTCCTGATTAAATCAATAAAATAAATTTACGCATTCATTAAATTTTTGAGACACCCTGTATATGCAAATCCAAAAAATATGAATGGAGTGATAGATCACAAGTACAGACTCATCATATTTTGTACATTTTAGATATGATTTATTCCACAAACTTTTGAGCTGACGTCATCAAGTTTTTGGAGGGGATAAGCAAATATTTTTTGACTAAAGATTTATGATGCTCTTTATAGCCTTAAAACATCTGCAACATTTCAAAGCATTCTGGTTAGCAGATTAAAAATTAAATTTCAAAATGTTGTTTTATAATTTTGATTTTTTTTTCAAAAAATCTGGACGTTTCGGGTGAAAAGTCGATTCAGAGTTGTAAACTACATGTGTAGGACTATGTTATTTTATACAATTGAAAACCCATTTACTATGTACAATTTTGAAGTGACGTCATCGCATTAGTGGTGGGGATGATTAGACAAATTTTGGTTAGCGTTTTACCATCTACATGATATTCTTAATATAAGTACAAAATTTCACAACAATCGGTCGAGTACTTTCGGAGATTATCTGTCTAATAAAAATCCGGGACAACAGACGGACAGACGGACAGACGGACAGACGGACAGACGGACAGACAGACGGAAATGGGAGACCTATTTCTTCGTCTTCTAGGGGTCATGAAAGATCGAGAAAACGTAAAAGTATAGAGTCGGCCGACGGACTCGATTACAATACTTCCTTTGCTTACGCTCGGGAAGTAAAAAGTGGGGAAAAAGTCAGAAAAGAGTGTCTTACCTTTGAGGTAGCCGTGACCACCACAAGCTTCTCGACACTCTTGAATAGCGTCTCTGAATAACCAACCAGCTATGGACTTAGAAGCCGTAGACAGTACGTGGATTTCTGTTATCAAATCCGAAAAAGATCTTTTGTCTTGTTCTATTTCCAACTTGTCAATAATGTCAATCAGGTACATGGTAAACAATCTGACGATGTATATGGCAGCTAAGTATGGGAAAAGTCGATATTGCTGCCAAATAAGAAAATGTAATGAAAAAATACTTAAAAATCCAGAAACTTACATGTGACTGATATTCCAGAATCGGAATTTCAGTGTCTTCGTCCGGCCCAAACTGTCTTCTGACTGCTGCGTACCTTACGGCTATGGTGATAGCTCTAGCACCATATCCCTCTGCCAAAGTCGCAATATTAACACGCCCCTTGGAAAGAGCAGCAAAAGTCATTTGCATAACTTCTTGGACACTCTTAAACGAGGTTTTATATTCTCCATCCACAGTCACGTCTACGTACTTATTCAGAAGATTCTCGCGTGGAATGCGGTACTTATTGAACATTACAAACCTACAAAATACTAAACGAATCAAAGAAGAATCATTTTTCACAACCCACCCATTGTCAATTCCTTGAAGCCCCACTTTTTCACCCATATCCCCTATAACCAAACCCGGATAAGGCAACAACGTTCTCGCATCCCTGATCGGTACCACGAAACAATGCAACCCATAAAACACACCGTCCAGGACCAGCTGGGCAAACACTATTGCATGTGTCGCAGTTTTGCCCAAACCGCTAGCCCAACACTTCGCAGCTTCAAAATCTGGAGTGTCCATCACGAACTCTCCAGTTTCTTTGTCATAGGTTGCAGTCGTTCTCATACTCTTGGTGTCACTACCATGCCCGATTTCGGTCAAACAGAAGCACCCATTGATCTGAAATTCGTTTCCCCATCACGAAAACAACACAAGTATCACTCACCCTATTGTTTTTGGCGTCTTCGAGAAACTTTCTGTGTCTATCGGTGCCTTGATTCTGAAGAATATCTCTGAAGTAGTGTCGGTTTATGCCAAACTTAGCAAATGCTGAAGGGGCTATATGGATACACGTTCGTACCGCAGCTGCAACGGTTTTCGCTTTTCCGGTTTTTTCGTTAAAGTCGGTTTGAGTTAAGGCTACGGCTTGCTTGAAGGTTTTATGTCTTTGTTGGTCGAGAGTTGGTGAATGGTCGTCGGTTTGGAAGTCGGGGAGAGTTTGCAAAACATCGCTGGCGTAGTTCTGGACAGAAATAAGAAAAATTGCCAATCTTGAAGAAGCGAATTCCTTATCTATAGTGCCAGCATTGTCGCGTTCATATAGTGAGGTGGCAAAAAATCAATCATGTGATAATTTGGTTAAACATCCAAGTGGGTCATCTGCAAGTCAGGAAGGTAAAAATGACGTCCTTAATAATATTAGAAGTCAGGTGGATCCTGCGGCTCTGAACGCCCGTTTAAGAGCTTAAATCATGCTTCATATGTCCGCGAATCGGAGCAGATTTGGATATTACTACAGAAGGCCATCTACGAATTGTCAACAAAGTGGGATAAATCTCTTCCATCAGTAGACGGTATTATTGGTTTCATGGACAATCTGTCTTCATAAATTTTGCTTTTAGTTGTTTTTACATCATAATGCCAAACTGCTTTCTTTGTACTCAGTTTTTTGCGACAACGGCATCACTTGTGTTACATTTTAAGTATTTTCATAATTTAGACCCAAATAGTGTACATAGATGTAATGAAGCTAATTGCTGTCGAGATTTTGTTAATCTTAAATCTTTTAAAAATCATTTAAAATCAAAACATTTTTCACTAAATTGCTCGCCCAACTGCCATAACATAACACGTGCAAAATTAAACACATATGTACAATCGCACGCAAATGTTTTGAGCCTATGGGCGGATCGTTTTTGCCTGCCCTCACCGAAGAAGGCGGTCCAAATCCTTCAAGGGCAGAATTTGTAGGTAGGCTCAAACTACGACGAAATTCACATTTTACCCGATAAAATTTTATTGACAATAACGGGACGGACAGTAGTTATATATACATTTGGTAAGAAATATTTATGGCTCACACCAGTTCTCTCGAATTTGTCGGAGAAGATTTAGCAGGTAGTTGTTCCCATAAAATAATGGTCACTTTCGTTCGTGAGTAACGATGGTCCGGACATGAATTATTTTGCTTTCTAACATCTTTCGACCAATTGTTCCGTATAAAAAATTTCATCACATTTTCAAATAAAATACTCTTAAAAAAAACGATATTGTCGTTGAGTGACATGTAACTGGCATAATAATAAAAACGTGCCATTTTTGTTAACTGATATTTTTTTCATAAATGTCCCAAAATTATTAAATTTGTCTAATCATCCCCACCAATAATGTGATGACGTCACTTCAAATTTATGCATAGTAAATGGGTTTTAAATTGTATACAGTAACATAGTCCTACACATGTAGTTTATGACTCCGTGTTGAGTTTTTATCCGAAACGTCCAGATTTTTGGAAAAAAAATCAAAATTATAAAACAATGTTTTTCAATTTAATTCTGAATTTGCAAAATGGAATACTTTGAAATCTTGCAGATGTTTTAAAATCATGATAAACATGATACTATTTTAATTAAAATATATTTGCTTATCCCCTCTAAAAAATTTATGACGTCATCTCAAAATTTTGCAGAATAAATCCTATCTTAAATGTATAAAATATGATGAGTTTTATACTTGTGATTTATCACTGCATTAATATTTTTTAGATTTGGTTATACAGGGTGTCTCAAAAAAGTTAATGACTGATTCAATTTATTTTATTGAAGAAACAAGAATAGCAAAACTGAATACTTTGAAATATTGTTTTGAAGTTTTTGTAAGCATGGTAACTTTTTTGATTAATCAAATATGCGCAAAATCAAAAATCGGAAAAACTGAAATTCACTAATGCAAAAAACAGAAAATCGAAAAATACAAATCGTAAAAATCGAAAATCTAAAAATGGCTAATCAAAAAATCGAAAATTCAATGAATCAAATACCTAGGTCGATCTAAAAGTGGAAATTCACAAACCTCAAAAATCGAAAAATCGAAAATTGAAAAACGGGAAAACTAAAAAATCGAAAAGTCAAAAATTTGTAATATTGAAAATTAAAAAAATCAAAAACAAAAATAAAAAAATCGAAAATTAAAATAATCAAAATATATAAAGTAAAAAAAATTGCAAAGCCTAAAAACTGAAACGAACAGAAAAATCGAAAAAGCAAAAAATTGAAAAACCGAAAATTCTAAAAATCGACAATGGACAAATTGAAAATCGCAAAATTTAAATTGAAAAATTGAACATAGAATGTTTATTAGTGCCTTAATTACAATACATCACTATTGTTTGTGCACATGTCAGTTTACAATTTATAATATTGAATTCAAATTTAAATTAAGTCTAAAATATTTTGTCATTACAAAATTCTTCAACACTGTAAAAAGCTTTGCATGTCAAGTAATGTTTTATTGTCGTTTTAAAATGTGTAAATGGCGAATTTTGTATTGCAACGGGTAACATGTTAAAAAACTTTATTCCAAAATATTCGGTACCTGTCCGAGATTTTGTTAATCTCAAATTTTTCAAACACAAATCTGTATTATGACGCGTATTATAGGTATGGACATCGCGGTGTGTCTTATAAACGGTTAAATTAGACTTCACATAAATCAAACAATGGAAGATATAAAGCGAGGGTAAAGTCATAATTTTAAAACGTTTGAAGTGGTCCTTACAATCGTCGCGATATTTTAAACCACCTAAAACTCTAACAGCTTTACGCTGTAGACCAAATATTCGGTGTCTTGAGCTCGAGTGACCCCAAATCAATAGACCATATGACAACTGTGCTTGGATAAGGGCAAAATAGGCTACTCTCAAAGTTTCAAGGGGAAGTTGGTTATAGAGGTGTCGTAGTACAAAAATATTTTTACACAATTTATCGGCAACTATTTTCCCATGATCATTCCAAGTTAACTGGCGATCAATGTGCAAACCCAGGAATTTAGTGGACTCTGAGTATTCTTCAGGTATTTCTTCTTTTTTTAGACTGAATAACATATTAATGCATTTGTTTTCGTTAGTTGTTAACTTATTGCTGTGGAACCAACGCGTAGCTCTCGACTGCGCCCTTTCATGGATACAAATTGTCTCAGCAATGTTTTTACCTACTGTTAAAATGGTTGTATCATCGGCAAAAAGTAATGAGCGAGTCTGCAAATATCCCGGAAAGTCATTGATGTAGATTAGAAACAGTAGGGGACCCAATACTGAGCCCTGAGGTACACCGTGTGTAATGGGGAGGCTTGCAGAGTTTGCAGACCCGTTTCTTACAATTTGCCAACGCTCTTCCAAAAAAGATGAAATTAACTGACAAGAGGTGGGATGTAAGTTATACTTACATAGTTTCATTATTAGTATTTCATGCAAAACGCAGTCAAAAGCCTTTGTCAGATCTAAAAACGATGCCATGCCTACTTCACCCTTTTCCAAACACTTACTGACTGTATCAGTTAATGCCAGTATTGCATCAGTAGTGGACTGGCCTTTCCTAAATCCATATTGAACTGGAGAAATTAATTTATTATCTTCCAAAAAGGAATTTAATTGATTGCATAGAATTTTTTCCAATATTTTGGAAAAAACTGGTAGTAATGCTATTGGTCGGTAATTACTAGGTTTACTACTATCACCATTTTTATGGATAGGAATAATGACACCTGTTTTTAAACACTTTGGGAAGATAGAATTTCTAATGCATAAGTTAATTAATTTGGTTAATGGCGATATCAGTAAATTTTTTATATATTTAATTATAGTTACATTAAGTCCGAATATGTCAAGTGAATTACTAGGTTTTAAACTATCTATTACATCTCGAACCAGGATACCAGATATTTCAGAAAAAGTAAAATGAGTCGGCACATTACAATCACTTATCACACTATTATCACAGTCAGACATTAGGTACAATGGGTCATCACAGTTATCAGGCAAATTTTTTACTAGGTTAGAAGCTACAGTACTAAAATATATATTAAAATCATCACAGGATATATCACAGTTACTATTTGTTTTTATTTTATGACTAGATAATTTGTTGGTACTATCTTTGATAATTCGCCACATGACTTTTGATTTGTTGTTAGCCGTGTCAATAATTTTTTTGTTACTGTGAATTTTTTTAAGCCTAATTTGTTGACGGTAAATCTTCCTATAATTGTTTCTTGCTTTCCTTGTTTCAGAAGAATTTATAATTTTGTCCAAATTATTTAAAAATTTGAGAGTATCTCTCATAGCTTTTAAGTCATTGTCAAACCATTTGGATCTACTTCTTAAATTTATAGTTTTTTCAGGAAAAGCAATAGTCATACTAGTACATATAATTTCTATAAATTTACTAAATTTAGCGTTAACATCAATTTCCTGACTTTCAATAAATCTCCAGTCACTATTTGAAAGTAAATTAAACAGTATGTTTTTTCCAACTTTTGTTATTGGCCTATGTGTTCTTATTAAGTCAATATTTGGTGAAGTACCTTTTAAAATGGACATTTCCAGTTTTATTCCTGTGTGATCAGATAATGCTAAATCTAATGGACTAGTTTTGCAATAATCAATATTAATATTTGTGAAAATATTATCCAGGCAATTTAACTTTCTTGTGGGAAAATAGAAAAATCGATGAATTGAAAAATCGAAAATTCGACTACTCAAATTTTCTAAAAATCGAAAAATCATAAAACTGGAAAATCCAAAATTCTAATCATCGAAAGTCTGAAAACTGAAAATCGAAAATTCTGAAAAGCGGAAAATAGAATATCGAAAAATTTAAAAGCATGAAAATTGAAGTCTAAAAACCGAAGAATGGAAAAAATCGAAAAATTAAAACCGAAAAATTCAAAGATTTAAAAAGAAAATCTAAAATTCAAAAATCTGAAAATTGAAACTCGAAAATTTGGAAAATCGAAAAGTAAAAAAATTGAAGTCTAAAAGCTGAAAAATGGAAAACTGAACAATCGAAAATTCGAAAATCAAATATCGAAAAATCGAAAATTTGATAACTCAGATATGCGAAAAACAGAAAATCTGAAAATACAAAACTGGAAAATCAAAAATCTAAAAATGGAAAAACCGAAAATCGAAAATTCAATGAATCTAATACGTAGGTCGATCGAAAAACTGGAGATTCACAAATCTGA